AACACCGACACCGCCGTTTTCTGTAGTGCCTGCTGGTGCTCAGTCATGAAAGCCCGCTTCAAAGCAACTTGCATGCACTACACTCAGTGCCCGGCATGGCTCTTTCCCAGATGCCATTATTGACGGGTGTAAGGTGCCCTCAGCCTACACCACAACCTGTACATCGAAGCCACCAAAGAGATAGGCCTCTCAATGTCAGCATTTTTGGGCAGAAGCGCAATGAGGGACACCGCCCATTGGTTCGGGATGCAGGCAACCTCTTCAATGTGACGAAAAGCCTTGATGATGTCCTTCATGGCTTGAAAGGGCAGGGCCCGGAAAAAATCAAAGCCAACCCATCCAAGCCTGGTGCCTTTTGTGAGAGCTGCTTGCTGCTTGATTGTCTTCCAAACATGAGAGTCCTTCAAAGGCTTGAGCTCCTTTGCATGGTCAACACCCTTGGCAATCAGAGCTGGCATTGTAGATGAAGTGAAGGCACAGTCTCAAATATTTCCCCACTGTTGAAGTCTACTTAGTACTTTCCATCCGTTCAACTCTGGGTTACGTTTGAAAAGGGCGGATGAACGGCATCTCATCCTTTTTGAGACATCTGCACAGGCCTCTACATCCTTTTTCCGCAGCTTTGTTCATCCAAGTTCTGTACTGCTCCGTTTCTTCGGTGAAATTTTGCTCTTGGTGTAGGTCCCTCTGTTCTTTGGTGAACTTGAGCAGGACTTGAATGTGTTCGTCATCATGCATCTTCCGGAGCATGTCAAAGAGCATCTGAAAACCTTCAAGTTCGACATTGGCAGCTGGGGGTTTTATGATCAAGAGTCTACACTATCATGGTCTTTTCCTTCGAAAAAAGAGGGGATCATGTTTGGGGCATTAGAGACGCCATGGTGGCTCCACTACATCCCTCCGGATGGAACTGATTGGATGGTCCCTCCTAGCCATCACACATGAGAATAGTACTTCCTTCTTTCTTCTTTCTTCTTCCTTCTTCTTCTTCTACTGCTGGGTGTGCGTCCTCAGGGGCATTTCGTTGCAACTCTTGCGCAATGTGTCCCCAACCTTCTGATTCACCAAAAACAATCCACAACCCGACAACCGAATGCTGTTGTGTACTGTGCTGTATGTATCTGTATGTGCTGTTCAGTGGCAACGACCATGTTTATAAACATCCACCCCCAAACTGAATGCCAACTCTGCCCCTTGAATTGCTCCTTTACAGTATATTGTTTGACAGCCTTTTCCTGCTTTTGTATCAGGTTGTGCCTTTCTTCTGGAGTTCGACGATTTCTTCGTTGAAGTGGACCAATTTGGGAACAGTCGCAGGCGATCCTAAGCTTGATAGGGCGCGATCGCTGGATCATCTTGAGAATGAGGTCCCAACGTTACTCTGAAAGGGGAAGGCAACTGCCGAACCCAAAACGTCGTTCAACCTCTATGCCCAAACTGCTGTCAGGATAACAGGCTACCTCCACAAGAAGGGGTCCTTCATGATGAACCAATTCCTTTTAGGTTTTGCTGTATCGATTCCTTTTCATGCCTCTCTGGAAGCATCTCTACATTATTTACATCTCTTTCCGGCCCTTCACTCCGCTCACTTGTAGTTCCAACTCTGCATTGGCTGCTTGCATTTCCTGAAGTTGAGCCTTCAGGATCTCGTTCTCGATCTCCTTCGTTTTGGTCTCCTTGGGCTTGGCGTTCTTGCCCCCAGGACCCGATGCAGTCTTGTAACCCTTGGTGTCGGGGCTGTGGTCCTCGATCGTCTTGACGTAGGCGAAATAGCGATTGCTCTGTCCCTTGATGGAATGGCGTTGATTGGCATAAACTGACCAGCCTCTCCATCTTCCACTAGGAACCTTCTGTCTCTTGGATTGTGTCCCGACACCAGTTCACCTAGCTCGGAAACTGTGCCAGCACCTGGTCCAGCGACAGGTCTCCATGCTTGCCAAAGCCAGCTTCTGACAGATGGCGCGCTCTGCCTTGGCCGTCATGATGGTGATTGTGTCGTTTTGCCCGTAGATTATGCCCTGATCTTTCAGAAAGCTCTGAGGATCTGCTTTCTTCCGCGCGCTGCCACGCACGTCTGCCAACTCCTCCAACATTTTGGGATTGCTTTGTTGCTTCTGGGACTCCATGATCTCCGCATTGATCTGGAGTAGGGTCCACTCGGACGGAACACTCACCTCTTCCAGCTGAAGCTTGGCGACCCACTGAGCTTTGGTCGTTGGTAATGGCATGATGATCGCACAGGTGTACAGCGAGCAACGCTTGAATGTGCAAAAGGCTGTGTGTATCCTGTTCTCAACCACATGTGTTCACCAAAACTTCATCTGTGATCTCCGATTGACTTCAGATGACAAACCTTACAACATAAAAACTTCTGAATCAAATGATTATACGATGCACCGTTGTCACACAATTCGGCAATCTTCTCCTCGCGATCATTCCCTTGACCGGAATCTTTTCCGTCCATAGCATCAAAGGAGTCATCTCCCTATTCAAACAAGGTTTTAAATGGTGTGGAGTGCAGTCGGGCTCCATTAAGCAAAATGACCGTCAATGGGTTCAACAGGTGGCCATTGGGTGCTTTTCGCAACTGCACGACCTTGGTGCGGTCAACTGTCTTCAAAATCCAGCATGACCCCCAACGCTGTGAGAGCCTTCTTGGAAATCAGCACCGGTTGGCCTGGACCTTCATGAACATGTACTTCAAGGCGGCCACGACGCTCCCTGCTCCAAGTCATATCGTCCCGGTTGACAGGCGCTCTGACTTGGCGCCATTGCCAAATCCAAGCACTGGCTTCTTGTTGACATCGTGCTGTCCCTAAGCCCTCGAAGCTACCCTCCACGCACGAATCCACCACGCTCTCCAAGGTCAATGTGGTATCTTCTTAAAAAGTCATGCTTGTTCAAACCCGGCCGCTCCAGCCAGAAAGGCAATCTTTTAAATCTTTGCTGTGATTAAAACATGGACCTCGAGCCATGGACCCACTGGCTTAACTGTTCTTCTGGTAGGGCTTCGGCGGAAAGTAGCCACGACCAAGCTTCAGCTGCTTCTGCTTCCAGTGGGCTTCACGCAGTGTGGTCTTCTGTTGACGGATTGCCGCTAAGGCCTCTTGAGCCTTGTCCTCTTCATGGAAGTAGGCCTCCAGGCTCTCCGCATCCAAATGCTCCACTCCCGAAGCATCGTCAGCCATGAGAGCCGCCAAGCCGTCATCTCCTCCTCCGCCATTTAAAAGGATTTGAGGCTTTGATACGATCCCTTTTGATGAGGTCGTCACCGTTCTTGCAAGGCACGGCCAACTGTAGTGGTGCTGAACTCACCTTGGATAGCTGCCAAAATTTTTGCGCGCTCATTGGCATGCAGGCCGCTGCGGTGAAGAAGTAAGAACCGAGCAAGAAACTCTGGGAATGTCGCTGGACTGGAGGATAAAATTCCTTGGAGTACCAAGCCCCTGTCGACCTTTCTGCCCAGGCTTCCCGTTGGTGTCCCCAACCATCTTCCGCACCCTCGTCTCCCTCCTCCAGTCGGCCATCATCACGAAAGGGACCTTGTTCTGAACCTCTTTGACTGCCTCGATCTGGTTCACTGCTGTCTCCCAGGAAGGCTTCCAAAGTCTTGTCATCCTCCTGGACTTTCCTCAAGGCTTGACTAGCATCCCGAAGGCACTCTGCATGTCGAGTCAGCCAGCTAGTCATACTCTCACCTTTCTATTGCGACCGTGCACGCATCTGGTATTTGACCGCGCCGGTTTACCAATTTACACCGATTTACAGCGGTTTATCAGCTTACACCGCTGTACACCGGTTTACTGAATCTCACCGGTTCGACTATCCAATCCAACCAATTCCCTATTCCCAGCGGAAACCTAGACACGACAACGACCCTGCGTTGCTTTAGCTCAGATATAGTGGTACCGTAATCTTCCGCTACTTGGCAACGCCCAGCCTACCAAATAGCCAGTTCTAATACTTATTCAGCCAATTTGCACAGTGCAAAGATAGACATTTTAAACCGTTTGGCCCTATATGAGTCACCTGAGCGTTTGCCAGAGTCTTCTGTCTTTCGCAGCGGCGGCAGGTTTCGTGTGCCAGCACTATTGCCTCAAACACCGTTAAAAAATCACATGCAAGCACGTAAGGCTAAATAAACCGGTAAACACGCATAAGCACGCGCAAACCCGTAAACCCGTGTAAGCCCGTGTAAACACGCGTAAACCCGTAAACCCGGCGAAAAAATCAAGACGCTTTTCCCGTCTCACTGCACCTTTCTTGCTTTGCAAGCTGTAGAAGAACTTGGTGACAAAGCGGGAGGCTTCAGGCAAAGAAGGTCTTGTCACCACACCCTCAAGGAACTCCAGGACGACATGGACCCCCCTTTGGGCTGACTCTGGATCTCTCAAAGTCATCGCTCTCACGGCCAGCTTGGCCGTTCCTAGCAACTCCTTCAGAAGTCTCGGCCCACTATGTACCTCTTCTTGTACTCGTACCGTATGGCCTCTTCACGGTAGGCCGCCAAAATCCTCTGGCGACCCATCACACTTTGGAATCCCATCGCTCGTCCTCGCGATGGTCCTTGCTGTCATCTTCCGTCACTAGGCTCCAATGACTTCCCAATCAAGCGGCGCCCGAACACGATCAGGCTCCGGCTGCCATGAAAAGCGGATCAGCGCATGTTTCGATCACACGCCGAGGGGGGCCTTGATAGAAAATCGATCGGTGGAATGACGACGAATGCCGAATTCTGTATGTATGTCTGTCTGTAAGTAATGTAATGTATATATAATGTAATGTAATGTAATCTAATGTAGTATAGTATAACGTAATGTATATAATGTAATGGTACGTATGCATGCATGCATGCATGCATGAATGGATGAATGAATGAATGAATGATTGAATGAATTGAATGGGATGGGATGGGATGCAATGTAGTACAATGTAATGTATACATGCAACATATATACATGCATGCATGCATGTGTGTGTGTGTCCATCGTTGAGTTGAGGCACGCCGCGCAGAACGAAGGTCCCTCACAAGAGCAAAGTCCATCCTTGAAGCCAACTGACGATGGCCAGGAGGTTGTGCAGCTGTGGTTGGAAAAAGCTGTTCGAAGAGTCAGCGGGCAAGACGGAATCTTTTTGTTTCCAGACGGCAGGTTACTTGGCACGAACATTTGGACATGTATTGAGCAACATGCCGACGATGGGTAGACAGATGGATTATACGTAGAGATTTGCTTTAAGACAGGAGTGGAGTGCAGCTCCAAACTCGCAACAGTTGCAGCGGAGCACTGTACGCAAGAATCATCAGTACAAAGTGCACAAACCGCAGCCCTGGCCCTGGCTTTGCAAACTGTACTGCCCGGCTGTTGTCCAAAGGGCGCGGCTCGCAAGTGAAAGGGCAGAAGGCGCCACGTTGGAAAATAGGGAATATGGCTGCGATGGACACGGCTTTAGGGAAACTTGACATACCCTTAAGGAACCTAAAAGCGATGGCCTCCAACTTTCGCTGGTAGCTGTCTTTGCCACTTCTGACAGAGATACTTGTCTTCGTCACATTTTGGTGAAGGGTTCGTACTCTTATTTTGCTTCCTGTCGTCCGCCCGCCACCCTCCCACTCACTCACTGACCTGACCTGACCTCACCTCACCTCACCTCACCTCACCTCCCTCCCCCCTCGCACTCGCACTCGCGCTCGCACTCGCTCTCACTCTCTCACTCTCACTCTCTTTACGCTCACTTCCAATGCGCGCGGTGCTAAGTTCGCTCAAAACCCAGCATTTTCAACCCTCAGCGTGCCACAGAAGGCCGTTGGCATAAGCGGTTGCGCAAAGTTCTTGCCAATCCAGGATTTCAAAAGAACTGGCTCATTGGAGGAGGCGGCCACACTCACATCACTAGCATAAGGCACACTGACACAAGACGCGGTTGGTTTGCTATGCTTTCGTTTCATGGAAAGGCTGACACTTTCAGCCGACAAGAACTTAGAAGGTCAAAGCAACGTAGGCCGAAATCATTGGCTCAACAGTTGCGGAATTTGGGATTTTCACTCTCTCTCTCTCTCACTCATTTGTTGTCCTGCTCAGAACATCTGGAGGCATCCCTAAGCAGACTCCACGACCGTGTCAAGATCAGTACATGGCAGCTACCTTGATCTTGGTGTCCACGAATGGTTTCCCTGCAGCGAGAGCAGTTTGCAAAGCACTGCTCAAGTACCCAGTGTAAGTGTACCTATAGATTGGGGAGGGGTGTGGGGCAACGGCACGGATGAGAGCAATTATTTGGCGTTTTGAGTGCTTGGTGTTTTGCTGCGCTATCGACGACTCTGTAGCCTGGCTCCGGCACGCTTCCGCGCGGCCGATTTTTTCGATTAGACAAGCTTGTCACAATTTTAAGACATGCCTGCCATGTCCAAGATCTCCACTGCTGCCGGCGCAGGCGCCGCCTTGATGGCGGCCTCTGCCTTCGTAGCACCTGCAGGCGCACCCAGACAAGCTCTGAGGGGCACCTCCAGTGTGGAGCAGAGGTCCACAGGAACCCTGGGCGCGGTTGGGGCTGTGGGCGTCGCTGGCCTCGTAGCCATGTCTGTGGCCCGGCCCAGCACCAGAGCTGCAGTGGTGCGTTGTGCCTACGATGCCTCCAACGAGATCGGGGCCTGTGACCCACTTCTGTTCTGGGATCCGATTGGCTACTGTGGCGGCGACTGCACCAAAGAGGATTTCGACCGCCGACGGGCTGTAGAGTTGAAGCATGGTAGGATTTGCATGTTCGCGACCATCGGCATGCTTTGGCCTGATGCTGGGACAGGATAATAACCTTTTCATTGTTGTTTGTTTTAGTTCTTTCATTTAAGAAATGGATCATGTCTGCCAAGGGCTTTTAGTAGTGTTTGGTAACTATGCATGTCCCTCAAACTGCAACTCCCAAGTCTGGTCATTTCCACATCATCCAATCGAAGGACATCTTCGGCAAGTTTGATGGTTACCTGTCACCTTCTCAGAACTTAAAGTTCGCAGATGTGCCCTCAGGCCTTGCAGCCATCAGCAAGGTCCCCCTGGAGGGGTGGCTGCAAGTGCTCCTGGTGGCTGGGCTCATCGAGACTCAACTCTTTAAGGATCAGTCCTTTGGTGGCTTTGCCTATGCCAAGTATGGTGAGCCTGGCAACTTCGGCACCGGCTACTGGGGTCGAAAGATCCAGGACCCAGCAGAGCGCCGTTTGAAGCTCACCACAGAGCTGAACAATGGACGCTTGGCGATGGTCGCCATGACAGCGATGCTTATCCAGAACGGTCTCACTGGACAGTCACCTGTGGAGCAGCTGACCTCTGGGCACATCTCGCCCTTCAACGATGGCCAGGGCTTCTTTGCACAGTTCGACGCGTCCAAGGAGCTGGGAGCTTGCCCTCCTTTGGGCTATTGGGATCCCTTCGGCATGATGGCTTTCCAGGATGAGGAGAAGTTCCGCCGCAACCGTGAGCTGGAGCTCAAGCA